AGGGCAATTTTTGCCATAACCGGTAATTTATTAATTCCATTATCACACTATAATGATATGTACAGGGAAATCTCTGCGATGCAGCAATGTTGCAATAAATCAGTTCAATGATCAAGTGTAAATAAGTTTAAAAGGAGATCAGTAAAAACTACTTGTAAAATGGGGTTTTTAAATTATCTTCTCAGCCCATTCACCACTACATTTTCGTGACTTGCAACCGAACTATTTTCATCATTAACTCTACTGCTGTCATCGCCATTAACTGTTGCCTGGTTGCTTTCATCCGCAGAGTTGTTTTTAATTTTTCCGTTTTTATCATTTTTCGCGTTTTCTGCCTTTCTTGCAGCAATTCGACGAACTTGTACAATCCATTTTTCCACATCTCTCGCCTTCACTAGACCGAAAGAGTGAAGATTGCACAGGTGTAGAACGAGGTTATTTATCAAACCCTTCTCCGCGATGGCCTTCTCGTGCAACTTTATAAACAAGTCAACAACTTTGGCGATATGACATTCTCCGATAGCCATTTTACTGTCAGGAGAAAAAGGATAATCAGTTTTAGTAAGTTCAGGTATAAGTAGTAAACAAAAAACACTTGTTACCTGTTTCGCATGAGATGAAGATTCCACATTTTGGCAATCTCTTTCTCTCCGGGATTGACATCAGTAAACTCGTCAATTTGCTGAAATACAAATGTTAATGGTTGCAGTGCAAAAAACATGGCATGCCCAAACAGGTTACGTACCGCAATGTTCCGGTGAATGTTCCAATCAGTGTAGTCGGCATTGGAATCATCTTCACTATCGATGTCAATTTCATGCGCCAAAACGGGAATGCACGTTTGAGAGTGGTAGTATTGCCGAAAGTCCGTCATAAGACCTGGCTGTCGTATATAGTAGGCAAACTCTTGAATATCCAGATTAGTTCCCCAAAGGTTATTGAAATAAAATAGAAAATTTCGTAGCTCATTGGAAACCATGACACTGAAGCCGTCTCGTTGTGAAATAGATTTTCGCGGCGAAGTTAGAGCAGTATTGTTTCGTGGATCCAACTCATAAGAGCCGTCAAAATTATTGTTTAGTGAAATTCTAATGACTCGATCAGGGTTCTCTTCAAACTTGATGATAAATCGATCATGACAGGCTCTTAGATGAATCTTGAGCGTTTGGTAGTTGAAGCACTGAACTGAACAGATTATGCATTTGTAGTCCATCGTGTACAGCAGCGATTGAATCATTTCAAGCACAACTTTGGCAGTGATTCTGCCAACTCCTGGCAGTGGTTCATTTTGGCGCTCGATATAACTCGTTTCTGCAGCTCTTGAACTTGTATTTTGTGTTTCTTGCAGAACTCCTGCTTGGCTTGCACTTCTAGAAATGGTTTCTATTGCGAGTCTGCATGTAGGCGTGATGTTTTCTTTTTCGTTATCTGGATCAGACAACACTGGACGATGTTTGATCATGTAAGATAAATTGCGCTGACGAAACAGAAATTTCTAGAAAAATAAAAAAACTTGGTTGAATCAACTGACAAACATGTTGAGAAAACACATACCTTGATGACTCGATCATCACGATTTTCAAAAGTGGAATCATTGGGTGGTCTATCCGTTCTTCTTTCAAGTCCTTCCCGAGCTACAACGTCGTACATTGCGGTATATTCTGTAAAAAAGGACCAATTTACCAAACATAACAATGACTGAATCGTTAACAATTTATACTTTGAAATGCCATAAAATTGTTTTCAAAAGTCGCTTGTGCTTCGGTCTCCGTTGGTAGCTGTGGAAACATTGAATCAGTATTGGAAACTTTTTGCCGAAAAACATGATCCGGAGACTCGTAGCCGGCGACATGGCTGAGCCAGCCATCCTTTTCACAAAGCTCCATCTCTTCTGGATCAAGAAAGGGAAACATTTCGGTGTAAAATTGTTGATAAAATATAAATGATGATTGAATTGGATTAAAAGCTACTGTAGCATACTGAGCGCATTTAAAACCGTCAAAACAGTGCGGCATAAAAAATCACAGCACCTGAATTTTTGTTGTCCTTCCGCAGAAGATGTGTCGCTGTAAACACTGTACACACTTTTCCATTTTTTACCGTTGATAAGACGCACGAGTTGCAACTCTAAATGATAGCTGTCTTTGGAACCCGACGAAAGGCCCTCTTCAACTTGGTTTCAGTTAGTTTACTTCACTTTGCAAATCACCGGACAATGAGTTTCCAAGCAGCCAAAGGTGAGAAGAATGCACAATGACCTGTTGTTGATTCTTTTTGTTTAGATCGCTTTCTAAATATGTCACTTCAGGAGAAGCGACAGGAGTACAAGTGTGGAGACTCATATGTGACATTAGCTGATATTCCGCCCTGGTCAAAGAGTGCCAGAACCCGAGAGGGCCAGGACATCTCCCCCACGTCAGCTATTAATGAGAAGATATCCATCTTCCAGGGCGACATCACCAAGTTGGAGATTGACGCCATTGTGAATGCCGCGAACGCCCGACTAGCTGGAGGCGGAGGAGGTAATCTTTGNCCAGGACATCTCCCCCACGTCAGCTATTAATGAGAAGATATCCATCTTCCAGGGCGACATCACCAAGTTGGAGATTGACGCCATTGTGAATGCCGCGAACGCCCGACTAGCTGGAGGCGGAGGAGGTAATCTTTGAGCGAATGATCAAACGAGGGGTTGTATTTAACTTTAATTTCAAACTAGTCGACGGATTCATCCACCGAGGAGCCGGAGCAGTAGACCTTCAGGCGGAGTGCCAATCGCTGGGTGGCTGTGAGACGGGCCAGTGCAAGATGACCGGTGGCTACCGGTTGCCGGCAAAATGTAATTTATTGTCTTTGTTATTGATTTGCAATGTAACTAAAATGCCACTGCTATCCCTCCAGACATCATTCACTGTGTTGGTCCAATTGGCGAGAAACCTGAGCTCCTCGCGTCTTGCTACAAGAACGCACTCGATACCCTGAAGGCAGCAAAACTGCGAACCATCGCATTTCCCTGCATTTCGACCGGCGTCTACGGGTACCCAAATGATAATGCGGCTGATGTAGTCCTGAAGACGGTGAAAACGTGGCTGGAAGATTCTGCGAACCAGGCAGCGGTCGATCGTATCATCTTCGCCCTCTTCCTCGACCGTGATCTTGAGGCCTACAAGGAACGATTGCCCCGCTACTTTCCACAGTAATAATGCTATGATACTTTTTTTTGTCGATGAACTGAAACACGGCACTACGTGCTTCTTTTTGTGCTTGGTAGCAGCTATCAAGTTGCTACTACTGAATAACACACCGAAATAAATGGACACCCCCTCCCCAAGTTTGCTAAGTAAGCACTTTGTGCAGTGGGCTGCAGTGTTGGCAAGACACCATCGGCTATTTCCAATGCTCTCAACGTGCAGTAGTCTGGTTGTGTGTTGGTCTGTCACATGGTCTCCTCTGCAGCATCTGCCAACCTGTTTGTATTGTTGTTGTTGTCGTCGTCGTCGTCAGTACTGCTGCTGCTGTCATTCAGGCGAACACCCTCGCCAACTCTCTTCGCACCACTCGACGCAGCCGTTCCCGGCGGAGACACTCAATCGGCGCAGTTCCGCTCAATCTGATCGTCCAGCAAAGAGCAGCAGTTGATATACTCCAGCCAGGGCTGAAGATCACCTCGAGGTGGAGTCTTTTATCTAATCGGCGGCGATGTGATAGCGACGATGACGTATGACACCGTCAGGACAACCACCACCACCACCACCACCACCACCACCACGAGACAGACGCCAAGTGACACTGAATTGTTTTTACTGCCAATCAACTATTTACTGTGTTTATTATTGCCGGTGACTCTCTCTCTCTCCTTCTCACTCACTCCAGTGATGCTAGGTGAAGCAGGAGAGAATTATCATACATAATAAACTGTCCTCTTTTTGCTGGCCACCACCACCGCCATCGTCACAACTATCTCTTCATTTGCCAGCAAGGTAGAAGCTTGCCACGGTGTGTGCTCCTGTGAGTGTAAGTTTGCACCGTTACCTCTCTTTCTCTCTTCTTTCATCGCCATCCCCACTCGCCCGCATCATCGTCGTTGATCATCTCTGCACCCAAGATCTTTCTGACCCACTGAACTCCCCGGCCACCATCAGCACGTGTCTCCTCATTTTATTCTTTTCCCATCATCCCCACCACTCCTCTAATCACAGTGGTAAGTCCTGTGCTTTTCTGTTTGTTTTGGTATTAATAGAAACCGATTAGCCGACGTCGCAGGCGACGTGTACACTTTGCTAGAGTTTCTACAGTCTGCCAGTTCTTGATAGTAAACGCGGCGCAAACTGCTTTTGTACTTTGAGCTTTATCAGTGTGCCGATTCGAAGTACACGGCTTCTTTGCCATTGATTTTCTGGGTGTCTAGCGTTGCTGTTTGCGAGGAAAGAAAGGTTCACTAGTGCGAGAAGTAGTGTCATTGCCACCACCACTTGACTGAACGCCCTCGAGAGATTTATGCCAGCAGCAAGTAATCTGCTTGTCGTTTCTGATAGTGTCTGCTGTCTGTTGAAAAGTATCACACTTCTTTTTGCTGCTGCTGCTAATGATGATGACAAACAAGAGTGCAGCGGCATTCTCTGACCACTACTACTCTCCTCTTCTCTTTAACTTCTGTCGCCTGTCTGCATCGTCTGCCTGCATGCTTTGCTAATCAACATCGGAAAAGAAATGTGCACAGTCGCCGTCTTGTTGATTAGGTGATGCAATGGGCAATGAGTTAGAGAGGGACAATTTACTATCAACACTGTTTGATGATGGTGATCACCACAGTAAATGTATGCAGGTCGCAGCAGTGTGCTTAGCTGAGCAATGAGCCTCAATGCGGCTCATGCGGCGCCAATCGGTCGGAGGAGGAGGAGAAGGACAAGGGACGCCAGCTTGCCCAATCGGGGCGCCTGATCTGAGCTTTCTTTTTCTGGATCAGCAGTTGTTTTCATATGTGTGTGTTTGTGTGTGATAGCCAAATACACCTGGCAATGTCGATAGTCGCCTGGCTAACCTAGTCTTTGTGTTTGTGACGACCACATTAGTCTTGGAGCGACGAGGACGAGCAATGCTTCCCTTGCATTAGCAATGAGCCCTTTGTGCCATTTTCGTTTCATTATTTAATTATTGATGACAACAAGAAAAAGTGGCGTCGGCGATGGCGGCACTACACTGCAGCAGTGACACTATCATCCCCTCCATTTCTCATTAACAGTCTTATATATTACACGGACGTACTTGCTTTACCTGTTAGCTTTCCATACAGTGATTTGGCAAGTATTTAGTAGGTGATTCTCTCTCCCACTTATCTACTAAATAATCCCCACACTACTATTGAACGGTGTTTGCCATTTTTTAATCGCAATGACTGACTGTCACTGTCCTGCTGCTTCCACAGCGGCTAATCGACTCTGCCCTCGATGGCACTCGATGGCCACCACTTTGCCGACCGGTGGAGAACAACAGTTGGCTGGTTGATCATCTTCGCCAATCATCGCCTTCAGTGTCGAAGTGACTGTTCCATTCGNACTACTATTGAACGGTGTTTGCCATTTTTTAATCGCAATGACTGACTGTCACTGTCCTGCTGCTGCTTCCACAGCGGCTAATCGACTTTGCCTTCGATGGCACTCGATGGCCACCACTTTGCCGACCGGTGGAGAACAACAGTTGGCTGGTTTATCATCTTCGCCAATCATCGCCTTCAGTGTCGAAGTGACTGTTCCATTCGAAGGACAGTTTGTCTCTTTCCCTTCCCTTTCACTTTTTTTCGGCCATTTTATAACGGCCACCACCAGTACCAGTACCAACATTTACCAGCACTTTTTGTGGTGTTTTCTCCACTGACTTCCCTACTCACATCCTCACAGTGTGAGTTTGTGTTGAGGAGATCTCATTTATAATTAAAAGTCACTCGAGATAAGCCTCGTGCCATCGCTGCATTTTTTAGTGGTCCTACCTGTGGATGAGTGTTTTCTCCGCCACTGCCTGTGTAGTGTCACTTGTGTATGCAGCTGTCCTCTCATCTCATCTCATTTCTCTTTTGCCGCCGGCTCATCTGCTATTATTATTTTTTACAGGACAGTTCCTGTTTACCTAGCAGATTCTGTTACTATCGATTGACATTTGTTTACTGATCTCCTCCGCTGCATCTCACCGCCAACTTTTTCATCTTCATCTTTTTCCGATTAGACCATCCAGCAAAATGATTGACCGCAACCTCCTCAACGTGCTCGTCCTGGGCCTCTCCTTTATGTTGCTCTTCACGTCCTTTCAGACCGGTGGCATGATACAGGTTCGTCTGCACTTTATTGATGATCACAATGCCAATTTTCTACCTTTTCAATCTAGGGCACAGTTGTACAGAGCATCAAAGCTCACGACTCTTCGTACAACGCCGATGGCTTCATCTCCATGTGCATCATCTACGCAGTATTGGCCATCTGCAACTGGTTTGCACCTGCCTTTGTCAATTTTCTCGGCCCCCGAGTCTCGATGATCATCTCTGGCTTCACCTACATGTGCGCCTGAGTTTACACTTCTTAGTTGTTTTTTTGCTAATATTTTCCGTTTCCAGTATTTTCATAGCCAACTTTCTCTATCCACTGACATGGCTGCTCTACGTGGTCTCAGTGGTCGTCGGCGTTGGAGCTGCCAGTAAGTGAAAGCGGTGATTATAAATGTCTGATTTGATCTCCCATTCTGCCCCTCCCCCACCTTTTAACAGTCATCTGGACGGCGCAGGGCAACTACCTGACGCTGTGCTCTAACGGCCGTACAATGTCCCGAAACAGTGGCCTCTTCTGGGCGCTGCTGCAGTGCAGCTTTCTCTGGGGAAACATCTTCGTTTTTACCTACTTTACCACTGATGCAGATGGAACCATCAAGGACAGCACCATCAAGGTGACAAAATACTACATATAAAACATGGGCACTTTTATTTGACACACACCGGCGATATTTCTTTCAGGTGACATACACCGTCCTCTCCGTACTGGGCCTCATTGGCGTGGGCTCTTTTTTTCTGCTCGGCAAACCGCAAACTGATGGAATCGACGCCGATGACTCGCGTGACTCGGAGAACATCATGTCTTTTGTCTCTCGATCTCTGAGTATGTGGGAAGATTAACTGGATTAGAGCTACACTACTAATACCTCTCTTGCCTTTTCCCAACTGTCAGAGGAGTCTTTTGGGCTGCTCTTCACCCGGCAGATGTTCCTGCTGATGGTCACCTCATGTTACACAGGTGAATGGCACGCTGCTGCTGCTACTACTGATGACTGATCAGTCTGCCTGACTGATACTTATCAGCATTTCCATCACATGACAACAAATACTAACTGCCTACTACAATGCCGCTGTTGTTGTTGTGCCTATTGTATTTCCATATTTCCAACACAGGTATTGAGCTGGCATTCTTCAGCGTCGTCTATGGCACCGCCATTGGCAACACCAACAATCTGGTCGACTCGGGAGAGAGTCCGAAGAAGTACATTGGCCTCAGTGGAATGCTCATCGGCGTGGGCGAGATCTTGGGCGGCCTGTCCTTTGGCATACTCGGCTCTAAGACGAACCGCCTCGGTCGTGATCCGATTGTCATTCTCGGCTACTTCACCCACATGGTTGCCTTCTTCCTCGTCTTTATCAACTTTCCCAAAAACGCCTCGCTTCAGCAGTCAAACGAAGCGGCGTACATTGCCTCGAGGTACACTGCCGTTTCGAACACCCTAGAGCGCTACCTTAACTCGCTTCCTTTCTCCCACCCTTTCTCCCAGTCTTGCCATTGCTCTGGTGTGCAGCTTCCTTTTCGGCTTTGCCGACTCGTGCTACAACACGCAGATGTACTCCATCATTGGCACCGTCTACGCGGACAACAGTGCCAATGCCTTTGCGCTCTTCAAGTTCTTCCAGGTAACTTTGCAGTAGCCATTTGATTATTTGTTTACAATTGATTTGTCATCCCTCATCTTCCTCGCATGTTTGCAGTCCATCGCCTGCGCCTGTGCGCTCTTTTATTCAGCGGCGGCCGATCTGTACGTGCAGCTGTGCATTCTGGCGGTCACTGCCTCCATCGGCACGGTCACATTTGTGCTCGTTGAATGGCAGACAAAGCGAGACGCGGCGACGGGCATTCGCAGAACTGACTGAAGCAGCAGCAGCAGCAGCAGCCAG